GAGAGCCCTTGACCGTACCTGCTGTTTCCATGATGACCCTCTTTCTGTGGTATCCACATACCACGGTAGTGGAACACACCTCAACACCATATATCCTCACGGGTACCGTAAGATTAGCATATTATTGAATAAATCATGGTTTACCATAAATATCATGGTACATGAGTTTCAGTAGGATGGTACACTACTGTTCAAAAGTTTGGTGTGGGTAAGGTTTTTAATATTTTTGGAAGAAGTCTCTTATGCTCACAATGGCTGTATTTATTTGATTAAAAATACAGTAAAAATTGTAATATTGTGAAATATTATTACAGTTTAAAATGTCTGTTTTCTATCGCAATCAATTTTAAAATATTATTTATTCCTGTGATGCAATGCTGAATTTTCAGCATCATTACACCAGTCTTCAGTGTCACATGATCCTTCAGAAATCATTCTAACAATTTCTTATTACAGAAAATAGTTGTGCTGCTCAACAGTTTTTTTTTTCTTCAGGATTCTTTGCTGAATAGAAAGTTCAAAAGAACAACATTTATTTGAAATAGAAATATTTTGTAACACTATAAATGTTTTGTAACACTAAAAGCTTACCCCAAATGTTTGAATGGTAGTGTATAAAGCACCATAGTATTACCATAAGATGAGTAAGTTGTTCACATGATTTTTCCATGTATGTTTTGGCTTACAGTTCTCAGTATGGTTGGGATCTCAGCAACTGCAGCTTGGCGGATGGTGTGGTGGATTCTGGGAAGGCTAGTGATCTGTCAGTCTGTAGCTGGCCAATCGAGCCGATTCAATGGACACCATTCCCTTTGCTGCAGCAGATCAACAGGAATACCACCACAGTAAGACTCGTACACTAAAGACTCTATATCTATATTGTTGTAATGGAATGACACATAACTGTTCTTCATATCCAGGTGAAAGCGTCCCGTCCACGCTCTTACTGTGAAGGCATGGAACTTGTAGATTTAGAGAAGAGCTGGACAGCTTAATGGAGAGTCTCAGAAAACCCAACAAGCTCTGGTCAAGTGAGAGAATATTTCATCTGTTTCAGGAACACCATTGTTGTGCCAAACTTAATAAAAATGTATTTTAAATGAAAAAAGACTTTTTTGGGATCTGCTTCCAGTGTACTCTATAAAATGTACACTACCATTCCAATGTTGGGTTTTAGGAAACTTTTTAGATAATTAATACTTTTATTCAGCAATGACACATTAAATTGATTAAAAGTAACAGTAAAGACTTTTATAATGCTATTAAAAGATTTCTATGTCAAATAAATGCTGTTCTTTTAGACTTTAGTCAACAAAGAATCCGAAAAAAAGTGTTAGTTTTCACTAAAATATTAAGAAGCACAACTGTTTTTAACAATAATAAGAAATGAGAAATTAATAGAAAATGCTGTACTTATTCTGAAAATAGAACATACCGTTTTTTATTTTCTCCTGCTCTGCTTTCTAAAGATGTGACAACAAACCTGGTGTTAGCAAACTTGAACACGCCTAATAACTGAGGTAGCAAGACACCGTTTTCTGATTGCCTAACATGCAAATATAAAAGTTCAAGGTTCAGTCATAGTCGTGCATGACCCAGACACTAATGCCACCATCCTGTTCTGCCCTCATTGAGTCTAAAATCAATCCACTTAACCCCGTTGCTCCAGGCCATCTGTCCTATCAATTGTATTGTCTGTTAATTTGTATAAAAACTGTATGCTAACTTTCCCAATCCAACAGGGTACATAAAATGTACACTAAAAACCGAATGCTCTAAACAATGTTTTAACACTTGCTGGAGCTTTTTTTTGCCGATCACTGAACCACTGGAATGAGAATGATGTATTATATTTTCAGAGAAGATCTAGTAAGAGTAGTAGAGTGGATTGATTTTATCATTCATAATATGGATCTAGAAATGATGAATGAGCCAGTGGACCCTTTTCACATTTGCGGGGGTTCTCAGAAATCGCCATATTTGGGTAAACTTCTATAGTAGCAAATGGAAACTACAGCAAATGTTTTTTTTGCATTCTCATTTGCTCCACTAGCAAAAAAAAAAAAAATTCACATTAGTGTTTCTATGACTTTACAAAAGAGGGGAAACATATTGAGATCACATGAGAGATTGATTACGGTGGTCAGAAGAGTGAAATGTCAAATTTGCTGTCACTCCCACACACTAGTTTTCTGTAATTTAATGCCAAGTTCATAAAACACTTAGTATAGATTTATAAATGTACATGACATTTTTAAAATTAAAATATAAAATGCTTTTCTAGATTTACGTTGTCAAAAACGGCATCAGTGAAAAGGGTCCAGTGTGTTTTTACCATAGACTGTATAAAAACATGGATGTAGTGTCCGTGACGTCACCCGTAGATTTCCGAAGACCGTTCTTGAAGCTCAAAGTGGGCGGAGCGGGCCGTCGTCACCGCGTGTCACTCATGGATTATCGAAAATGGGCAAAGAGGCGGGAGCAGGTTGCTGAAACCACGCCCACCTAGCCCGACGGTGGTGACAGCAGCGGCAATCCACCTTAATATAATTTAAACGGATGAGTTATAAAAAAATTCACCCCCTCACAGTTGTCATGAAGGGCAAAATTAGCTATATAGACCAAAATCATTTTTTGAACCAGGCTGTAAACGTTGTTTTCTGCTGTAAAGTTGGGCATTTTAACATGGGGAGTCAATGGGATTGACTCTCTTTTGCAGTCAGCCTCTAGCGGCCAGTTGATGAATTACAGTTTAAGTCACTTCCGTGTTGGCTTCACCGAGAGAGCGGGAGGTTGCCGCTTGGTTTTGACATAACAGTTGCCCTTTGCTGCTCATGTGGCCATTAAGAGTATTGCATCCGGAAAAGTTCCAAGGATAAAGGCAGCAGGTTCGCTTCTGCATAGAGACAGCAGAGGGCACAAGAAACAGCACCATTTGTTTTTTTCAGAGTCAATCCACTTCATTTAGTACATAAAGCTAAAAGCAAATAATATGCATATATTCAGTGAAGGAATTAGCTAATCTTCATGACCTTTCATATAGCATAATATAGCAGCATAGGTCCCTTTTTTTTCTTCTTTTTTTTTTTTTTACACCGGAGTTGTTCTTGACGCAGTGCTACTTTGAGACATATATGAGGGCTCTTTTACAGCGTTTTGCACGGGTGAATTGTCATTCCCAGAATTTTGCGCATGCATTGGGCTTTTACTGGGATTTAGTGAGTTTAGTTTATAGTTCTGCGACAGCACGACTCCATTTTCAGGTTTGACTGAATTTTGACCATGTGCATTTGCAAACGCAAAGCCTTTCTCGGTGCTCAACGAGTTCTGTATGTGCGAAAGCTCTCTTTCTGATTTCAACGAGTTCTGCATGGTGAACACATGAGGATTTGCAAAGCTGTTATTAGCGATGTCAGAGTTATGAAAATGTGCAAAACCACGGCCAGCGTTGATGGTGTTGTGCGCAAGCGTGTGAGCAGCTGTTGGTGGAAGTCCGCGTCCCAGCGCGTAAAGTCCGAGGTCGTTCCCGTGACGGGCCGGAGAGGGTTCGCGCGATCGGGAGTCTGAGGAGCGGTTTTGACCCTGCCTCCAGCGGTAGCGGGAACGGTAGCTGGTCGAGCGCCGATGCTGTAGGGAATGCGTGCTGGTTTGGAGTGTGTGATGCGAACGCGCTCTCAGCACACGGTGCGTATCGATGAACAGGTGCACGGTCAGGACGCCAACAGTCTCCGCTATGATGAAGGAAAGAGCGCCGCAGTAGAAGCTCCAGCCGTACCAGTGACTGCGCTTCGACTCGCTCTGGTTAGGGTCGCCAGCGTTGGATGAGATGTACACGATAATGCCAATGATGTTGCTGAGGCCTAAAAAAAGATACTGTCAACCTTCACTTATGTGTGTGTTTCTAACCTAATCATACATTGGGGGCAATTTGCTAAGAAATGTCCTTAGAAATTAGTTAAATGTCCCTAGAAGTTATCATGCCTTCCTCGAAATAACTGGTGATCTTATGAAAACAATCTTACGTAAATTATGTAAGTAATGCATTTTTCCCACAAAAAAAGATCATATTTTTTTGCCTTCAATACTAATTTTCCAAAATCATGAAGTTGCTAAAGACACCCTTGGCATTGATTCTGTAGTTTTGTTTATGAAACGTTGCATTGTACGGAAGCCCATTTATGCCACATAAAAAGTCGAAATTATGAGATACTGAGTCATAATTATGAGATAAAAAGTAGGTAATGTTGAGATGTAAATGTGAAGTCATAATTATGAAATGAAAAGGTTAAAATTCTAACAAAAAATCATAATTATGATATAAAAAGTAAATTGGTCAATTTCACCTTTTCTTATCACAATTAGGACTTATTCTCCCATAATTGTGACTTTTTATCCCATAACTATGACTTAGTAGATCATAATTTTAACTTTCACACAAGAAGAAACATAAGTCATAATAATTGACTTAATATAATAATATTTATTATAGAAAAAGTTTCTATTTTGAGATACTACGTTATAATTCTAAGATAAAAAGTACAATAATTAATATAAAAAAAAGTACTAATTATGAAATAAAAGGACAAAAGTATGGGAACAAATTATGGGAAATTATGGGAATCTAGTCATAAACATGACATATAGGTCAAAATAATGACAAAAAGTTTGTATTATGACAAAAAGTCTTAATTATGAAGTAAAGACAAAATTTTGTCATAATTTTGACTTTTTAAGTCATAATTTCGGCTGTCTATATTAAGATTTTTTATGTCATAACTGACTCTAACTGAAAATTGAGTGTTTACTGTTTTGCATTATTACACTATTTTTCCTATTTAATACTGTAAAGCTGCTTTGACACAATCTGTATTGTTAAAAACGCTATATAAATAAAAGTGACGACTTTTTTATCATTATTGTTTGTCATAATCTCTTAGACGTTTTCTTATAATTTCCTCTTTTATGTCATAATTAAACTTTTTATCTCATATGTTTGTCTCTTTATGTCCTAAATTCACTTTTGTCATAATTATGATTTACCAAATAGTTTTTCTTATGTGGCAGAAATTGGCTTCCATATTACTGTCACGAGAATACCACATAAATTTGCTTACAGTGCCACCTACTTGTCAAAAGCTAAAAAGTTACAAATAATACAAAATCTGCTTTGCTATGATCAAACAAATCTACTCAACATTACAAAGGGCTGCTATTTGGGTGCTTCACCCTGTGATTGCTGTTTGCAGATATATTTATAATTGATATATTTGAAAACATCTATGGTACATGTAACCAGGTAAAAGTCTATATATGAGCATATGGACATACCAGCTGAGATAAAAAAGATGCCTGCGCTCAGGATGACATTGTGTCGGCTCTTGTAGAACTCACTGGCGGCTACACACACTCCACCAATGAACAGCAGTCCCACACTCAGTATAGGGAAAAGACTAGAGGCGCGCACAGCACCTGTCACACAAACACACACACACACACACACACACACACACACACACACACTCTCTCACACACATACACACACACACA